TTGCTTTTTCTCTTCCAGATGATAAAAATAAAGCAGCAGTACCTCAATGAGGCCAGAAGCTTTAAGACACGAGTTAAAACCTCCAGAGATACTAAAGAGTCTGGAAGGTTGAAGGTCAAAGGTTGAAGGTCGATGTGTCTCCTAAATGTCCCATGAAGGACAGAGATCCTCCTTGGGATCAGTGTCAGAGGTTTTAGAGGAACTCTGAGAAGAATGACCAGAGAGCTTTCGGAGACCAACTGAATGATCTTTGGGAGGATTTTTATGGGTTTCATTAAATCATGAATCAGCAGATCTGATCTCTGATCATGTTGATGCTCCAACAGGAACGTTGGAGTTACTGAATCTCTTGACATCCTTACTGCCCTTGGACTCTTCTTCTATAAAAGATCAGCCTGGTTTAGCTTGGGGTTACTCTGACATCCACTGCACTAGAAAGCAGGAACAGAAACAGGCTCAGGTTTGTTCTGTAACGGAGGTTTTGATGATGGATTGGAACATGAGATAATCAGTTAGATAATCAGTTAGATAATCAGTTAGATAATCAGTTAGATAATCAGTTACAGGTTGCATCTTCAGTAGGACGGCCAAAGTCTACCAATGAAATCATCCTGATCATCGGAGATTAAAGGTTCAAGTCAGACCAGTCTTGATGCCAGCAGTTGAGCTTTATTTTGGTTACAGCTCCATCTAGTGGAGCAGAGAGGAACTCCCCGACATGGTGAGATGTTTTCACATGCAGCTGTAACTATTTGAGGAAACATTAGTGGAAGCTGTTTCTACTCCTGCAAATCCTTTTAAAAAGGCAGTTTGACCTTCCTGTGTGTCGACAGGAAGCTCTGCAGTCAGACTGGACGGTATTTACAGTCAGGACTCCAGTTTAATGAGTCAGTTGACATTTAAACTTTTGTCTTTTCCCACTTTAAGCTGAATCCAAACCAGGATGATGGAATAGCCTGAAAAATCCAATAAATGAAGCTAAATGTTTTATCTGCAGCCCAATGGACCGTATGCAGCACAGCGAGCAGCTCAGAGGGCGAGAGAGTGAGGAATCAGAGAGCGAGGAATCAGAGAGCGAGAGATCGGGGCGAAGCCTCCACTGAGCGGCTCCGATGTTCACGCTTCTCCTCAGCGACCTGACAGAGCAGCTCAGCATCAAACCAAAACCCAGCAGATACGAAGGAGTCTGGAGGAAAACCACCAGAAACTGAGCAAGAGCAGCATCCAAACCTCTAGATCCTCCACAAACACAACCACCATGGCAGAGGTCACACAGGTCAATCATAGGCAGCAACGTTTGGGCTAAAAACCAGAAGACACATTAAATGCATGTTCTGTTCCTCATTCATTGATATTTTATGGACATATTGATCTGGTTGTCAGATAATTTAGCTAATAAAGGGTTGAAGGATTTGGGTTCAGTCATGATTGACGTCAAATCAGAGATAAATCTTCAGTCGTTCTCTCTTCACATGTCATTCTGCATGAACATGTGAAGAACATACTTCACATGTTCTTCACATGTTCTTCACATGTTCTTCATCTTGCCCACAGTTCCTGCTGCTGAGCTGTTTGTCTAAATGTTTACAGGAAGTCGAGCAGAGAAGCATCGTCCTCCAGCGTGTCCTCTGGGTCTCGTCCCGCTGCGACGGGGCCAGAGAGTCACCAGTTCACCCTCACCAGTTCATCATCACCAGTTCACCCTCACCAGTTCATCATCACCAGTTCATCATCACCAGTTCATCCTCACCAGTTCATCATCACCAGTTCACCCTCACCAGTTCATCATCACCAGTTCATCATCACCAGTTCACCCTCACCAGTTCATCCTCACCAGTTCATCCTCACCAGTTCATCCTCAGCTGTATCGTCTCCATGTGAAAGAGCAATGGCTGTAGAGTGAGGATGACTGAGTTCATCTTTCTGCCTCTAATGGAGAGAAACTCATGTTTTGTATCCAGGTTCTGGTTCTTTCAGTCCCGACCTGAAGCTCGTCAGCAGGATGAAGGTCGGATCGACTCTCTCTCTTCACCACTTCACCAATCGCATCAGATGTTTGCAGATGTTGCACCAATCATCTATCGATCGTCTTCATACATGAACAAAACCCCAAAGAACTTTGCTTTTCCGCCTGACAGTCTGATGGACTCGCTTCACTGGGAACAAACATTAGTTACCTTCATGGATGCGGCGTCAGTCAGAGCGGCCGCCTGTCTGTTCAGCTGCGACGCCATGATGTGGCAGCGCTGACACAGCCTCAGCTTCTCCTCCTCCGGCTTGCCGTAGCTGCTCAGCTCGCCGGCTGACAGGGACCCTTCTGGGTTGGGCCGCCGGGCGCAGCTCCTCCGGGCCTCGTCCTCCTCGCCTCCTGATGAACGCAGGCGTTTCCTGTGACATGTGGAGCCCAGAGGCAGAGCAGTCTGCCCCTCCACCACCTGTTGCTAGAGACCAGGACAGGGTTCAGACAGTCTAGTGGACACAGTCACCTGCCAAAACTTGAAACAACTTTCCATCTAGAATTAAAGCTATTAGCACTTTAAATATAGTTACTATTATTAATGCTGTGAAAGTTATTAATCTCATAAACTGTTTGACACCAAGTCTGTAAACGTAACAAGAGCAGAACTGGAGTCAGGCACGTGCAGAGGGGGCCCCCGGGGGCCTGGGGCCCCTTCACAGGCCCCTCTAAATGTCTCTGCTGTTCAACCTGCTGCTAATAAATAATATTTTATTTTTGTAGACAATTGAATGTTGAAAAATCTCACAAAATTACTGAAAATTATAACCAGTTTCTGATTTAGTTCTGCAGAAATTCCTGAAACATATTTAGATCATTTAATGTCATGATTAGTTTATATTGATATAAATTTATGTTAATTGATTTCATATAGAAATTGAGAAATTTTTCGTTTTACTCTCTGAAATGCACCAAATGAATTAGATAAAGTTGAACTTTGAATGATTTTGACTGATTGTTTCCAGGCAGGATTTATGTGATCATGATAAGGAGTTAAATACTCGCCGTGTACCGCCTGTAGTCCGGCCCGCGTCCCGGCCCGCGTCCCGGCCCGCGTCCCGGCGCTCCGGTCCAGAACTGGGAACACATTTCGGTTTGAAATCCTCCAGTCAGACCTGAACTCCTCGTCTTCTGGCTGCATCAGACGAGATGCGGCTCTGAGACGCTGGCGAATCTTTAACTCAGCAGAAATAAAGGAGACGGAGCCACTGAGGCGTGAAGCTTCAGACCCAGAGTTACACAAGCACTGAGCTGAGACTCTGCTGCACATGACCCCACACTGCTGATCGGGCAGCATGAGGGAGGCTGGCGGCTCATAAAGCTACATTTCCTTTTGTTTCCTTTATGTGAAACATCATGTTCACTATTGAAAATGCTGCTGCCAGAGTCCTGAGCAACACATAAAACCACAGAAGATTTATCTGTTTCTTTCTCTGATTCTTTTACAAAATAACATCACATCTATCTATTGATCACTATGGTAACTGTTCTATTTTCATTATATACGTGTATGATGATAAACACTTTTAGTTTGAAATTAGTAAATTATTAAGGAAAATCTAATCCAAAGTTATTTGCAGTGAAAAAAAACTTTCCAAATGGATGATTAACTGGTTTCCATTTGAACCAGATCAGTTATTGGCTGAATGCATCAGTAAAACCTGCTGGACAGATTAAACTATGAACATTTTGTGATGATAATATTTCCTCATATTTGTCTCATATTCCAGATGTTTCTGTTTGGCTTTAGTTTCATTCTTTTCTCCAGCTGAAGATCCTGGAAACTGATTATTTTCTGATCTGTTTGCAGCAGAATGACTTCTTCTGTTTTACTGAACTGGTTCTGGAAAGGTTTTCAAAGAGCTCCCTCTAGTGGACAGGTGTTGGAAGAGCATCTCCCCTTCAGGTCGAACCGGTTTCTGTCTCCAAACCCAAAGAACAATTTTATTTGACTTATTGTTTATTTCACTTTATTTAAAGTGAAGCCGCCTGGACTGCAGGTCCAACATCCAGACTAAAGTCAGAACCAAACTGAGGAGGAAACACGTCAGAACCGGAAGTGATGTCACAAAGCTAAAAACTAAATACTATAAACTAAAATTAGATTTTTATTTAGAAAAATCTGACATAAAGTTTGAATGATTCAAATAAATCATTCATTCATTTCTGCGTCTGGATTTTGGTAGAAATAAAAGTCTAAATTTACATGAATCCAACTTGATACAAAAGGCCAAACATGTTAAATGAAACATTCTATTATTTATTTCATAATAAATGATAGAAAGACAAATAAAGACCTTTAATTATAGTAAAATCACGTGAAGCTGTTGGTTTTCTGGTTCATTCAGGTTTAATTAGGTTTTATTCCTAATTAAACCAAAATATGTGAAATGAAGAAACTTCCTGGTTCTTTTTGTTTCCTGGAAGAGACTGGAGGAGCTGGTTTTACACGTTACCATGGTTAACATGGAGACATCAGTGATTCAAGCTGAAAAACTTCATCAGATCAACATCTGGTTCAGTTTGTTTCAACTTCAGGCTTCAAACAACATCAAGTAAAAACTAAAAACACCAAACATGCAGAAACGAAGGAGAAGAGGAATTTATTTATTGTCCCAAACATTAAAGAACATTTTACACAAACTTTCAACTTAATGATTTTGTGTTTGACAAAAACAGCGAATCAGAACAACCAGGATCATAAAACCATCTGGAAAAAGAAACTGAAGGAGAAATAAATAAAAATAAATAACATGAACAGATTTTACTGTTTTTTTTTAGCTTTCAGGTTTTCAGCATCAACAGCTGCAGGATTAGATTGTTCCTCAAAATCTCAGTAAATTAGCAACATGAATTACATTTCCTGTGATAATAAAATAAATCCTAAAACATGAATTATTCAGTCATTACTGCATTAATTCACTCGTTCAGATCATTTCAGGCCTTCAGGACTCGATAGGTGATGAGAAGAAGCTCAAACATTCAGTTAGGAACAAAATAAAACATCATTTCCTGAAACATTTTAAACTTTTAGAGTCTAAATAAAATCTCACAGGTTCTGAATCCGCTGGATTCCTCCAGAAGTTCTGCAGATGTTCGCTCCTGGACCCGGATCAAGTGGTCCTAAACATTTCACAAACCAGCTGACAGTGTTGAACTATCTAGAACCACTGGACCCGGGAGGATGTGCAGCGCGGCTCCAGTCGGGTCGGGTCCGGTCGGGTCCGGTCCAGTCCAGTCCGGTCCGGTCCGGTCGTCCTCCGCTGTGGCGTTCTGCTCCTCGACTCCTCACTTTATACTGCAGCTCCCACAGAGGCAGGAATGAGGGCCGGACCGGTCGGGCCTGAGGCAGGGAGGGAGGGAGGGAGGGGTCACCTGGCGGCTCCTCACCTGCAGCACCTGCAGCACCTGCAGCACCTGCAGCACCTGCTGCTCCTGCTGCTCCTGCTGCTCCTGCTGCTCCACCTCTGGACTCCAGCTGAGTTTCATTCAGGTCCAAAACACCAAACTTCAGTTTCAGGCTGAAACCTTCAGAGTTTCTAGTGAAACAAACAATAAACTGATTTATTTTAATTAAAGTCATAAATGATAAAAATCAACTTTTAATGTTTGTTGTTAGTTTGTTCAGCAGCTTTTCCAGCATTAAACCCATTTACAGTAAATCCAGAATTATCCTCCAGTCAGACCAGTAAACCTCTTCACTGGTCTGACTGGTCTCTCCATGAACTCAGTGGTTCTGTTGGTCCGGCTGCCGGGCCAACAGAACCACTGGAACCAAAGTGTTCCTTTGCTGTGAAGCTGGAAAGAAAGAACTGATCCTTTAAGAAATGTATTTTATTTTCCAGTTTGGTTTCATCTTGATTCATAAATGCTTGAATCAGTTTGTTGGTTTTTACTCTTGCAGTTTCATCAGAACCTGATCAAACTGATCTGGACCGAAACCAAAACCCGACAGATTGAAACCAGACCAACTAACAAATCATCAGAAAAGCTTTTATTTCCATATCTGCTTTATTAATCCAACACGGCAAAGATACTTTCATCAGTTTCTATTGAATTCAACTTTTCTGAGCGAAAACTGAATAATTCAAAAATGATTCATTTATCGTCCAACCAGTGAATTAAATAAATGCAGATAATAGAATTAAATACTAAAAGATGTTTAAAGTGTCAGGTTGACTTTAATCTGCTGACCTTTAACCTGATGGACGCAGGTTAAAGGTCGAGTAAATTGTGCAGAAACGTCTTTCTGCTCTGACATAATTATAATTACATTCATATCAATATATGAGGCTGAATGCAGATTAAATTTAACCATTTCATTGATTCTGTATTTGTTTTAAAGGTTTAATATTCATATTTCATCTTTAATGTCTATTAACTCATTTGTTTTGGTGACAAACTGCAGGTTAAGAAACTTTATGTAATTTTATGGATTTTACTCTAAATATTAGTTTCCTCTAGTTGTTGAGTCACATCAGGTTTAATTTTAATTACTGGATTATAAAACTCTGAGTTTGACTGAAACTGTTTTCAAAATGATCCTAAAAGCTGATCTGTGATTTAATCTCCCTGAAAAGAGTCAGAGGCCAGAAAATGAACTTTATTTCACACAAACTGCCTCACTGAACGAAATCAGGTCAATTACACTTCAGATAAAGTTTTACTTTATGTTGATAACATTATTATTTATTCATAAGCTTCAAACTGTCTCAGCTGCTGCAGGCGTCACTTTAAAACATTTTTAATGTGAATAAAACTAAACAGGTTATTTTAACTCAGATATTTCATTTAGCTCAACGTCTTTAGGAAGGACAGGAGCTTAGATTGGGCTTTTATTCTGAAAAACAGCCTCCATTAGTCTATCAGGTGTGATGTCCATTCTTGACGTCCACTGATGTTTCATCTCCACCTGAGGAGTTTGTTTGGTCCTGCAGGGACCAGCGGAGATCAGGTTGATCACATCTCCGTCTTTAAAGAAAAGATTTAGAGGCTGAAGCGAAACCTGGGCAGGAATGTTGACAGAGCAGGAAGTTTGCAGCTTGTTGCTCGGCTGGATTCCTGCTTCTCGTTAAAGCAGGTCTCACCTGCTGGTTATCAGCCACATCACTCAGGTGAGACTCACCTGCTGCTCCACAGACAGAAACAGATTCAAAAGCAACTGATCCTGATTAGATTCCCGTCCAGGTTGGGATCCTCTTCCTGTCAGCGGCTGACGCAGAACGAACAGTTTGTGAGGAGATGGAGACGGATGGAGGCAGCAGCAGGTTGGAGGGACAGAAACCCCACAGGAACGAAGACAAGCCGCATTCTGCAGGCGGGCGAGGCCGAGTCACCGACAGCCCAACAAAGAAAGTCAAACTGGTGACGCAGAAAAGGAGGAAAATATGAACCTGAACAGAGAAACTGAGGCTGAGCAGGAAGAGCAAAACACCAACAAATACTTTGGACATGACTGGTCATAATAAACTGATCCATTCATC